ATATAAAAAAAAACCTGTCAATCAGAATTTAAGTCATTCAATTTATTAATCACACATTTTAAGTGGGTTGTCTATCTATATAAACGAGACTAAGTCGCAAAGTTAACACGAATCGTCGTCACCATTCTTCCCCCCATTTCTTTGATACATACCTACATGTATGCCTTGTAGGGGGTGCATTGCTACCAACAGTGTTATCTGTATCTCTAAGACGTTGTGAATCACTCTAGAGTAGTCAAGTACTGTCAGACTAACACTTTATTACCTCACTACTTCTTGTCCTTGCTTGACAGCGAATTCATTCATTGGCCATGCCTAAGGCAATGAAGATCTAAGATGAGTACTACTAATAATATTAGTCTAGTGATCAAAAACTTTGCTACTATAACAAACAAACGAGGCTAATCTATGAGAAACTTGCCTTTATACTCACATCTACAGCCTTTTTCTCTTACTTTTTTTTTAATGGCATTGTTTGTTGTTTTATCATTGAGCCTGAGATCCCAACGTCACGATTTTCTTAAGATTTATACATAAATATCATTTATCCGACTATATAATATATTTTAATACATAAATAACGCAGAATTTAAATTATTTTATACATATTAAAAATATTAAAAAATCCATTTTTTTTAAACTCGTTCGTAAGACAGAATCCAACAATAAAATTTCCCAAAGCGTAGATTATCTTAAAGACGATTCTCGAGGAATTACAAACTTATTTATTTGTCTACAAAATGGGTAAACGTGAGAACATTTTAACGTTAAATTAAGCCCGGTTTTTATCATAGAAAGCAGCATAAGCATGGTATAAAACCGAAAGTTTTGTGGGGATGAAAATGCCAATTTTTCGATTTTGTTTGAAAGAGATCGGAGTAGACATCGAGGAATTTGGGCGAGTCCCCCGAACGACCCCCAAACCAGCTTTCCCCTTTTTTCTAATTAGCATAATAATATGACTGGAAACAGCAATGCAATGACTCACATAATAGTGTATTAATAATGGGTCGCTGGAAATTGGTTTGGAGGAAAGTCTTTGTTATCCCCATTTCAGAAAATGGACCCCTCTATGAAATTTTTTTTAATTTTTTTTTTTTCTACTCCTCTTTCTCTCTGCCTCTCCTTTTCTACCAACCCAGAATTGTGTAAAGTTTATTAGATAATTTCTATAAAAACCATTTCCATTGTTCTATGATAAGAGTAGAAAAATAAAATTATCACCTATAGAATCGTGAGAAAGTGGAACTAAATAAAATGGAAAAAAATTTACTTTCCAAAAAATCGACCGTCTGCTTTAACTAAATGAAAATAACCTTGTTTAAAAACGAATAAAGATCTAATTTTTGTGATTTTTAGAAGAGAAAAAAGAAGAAAAAGCTCTGTAAAAATTAATAAAAGCCCAATTCTTTTCCAATTTTTAGAAGAAAAAAATCAGAAAAATCCCTATAAAATTAATAAAAATACAATTCTTTTCCAATTTTTAGAAGAGAAAATTCAAAAAAATCCTTATAAAACTTAATAAAAATCCAATTTCTTGAAAATTTTACAAGAAAAAAAATTCAAAAATGTTCCTGCAAAAATTCTATAAAATAATAATAATAATGATGATAATAATAATATTTAAAAATAAATAAATAAAAAAATAATTGTTTTTTGATTTATAAAAGTTGAAATGAGTAATGATTAAAAAACATTTTTTAAGAACGACCATTAATCTAAGCAAAGAAAATTTATTATTCAAATTAAAAATAATTTAATTTAGCAAGAGCCTATCCAAGTCATTAATCTTACTCAAAAGAATATTGAATTTATTTAGTTTAAAAAAATTACTTTCGATATAAATGTCGGTAACAGTAATATATAGATATATATTTATTGATAAATTAAAACAGAAAGGGGTGTTTTATAAGAATAATAATATATTAAAAAAAAATCTCATCTCTTATCCTTTACTTATCGTACTTGTTTGTAAGTAAGAAAATCATGTGACTTATGATAAAAATTCGAATGTAATCTGTATATATTTTTTTAAATTATTAATTTCAGTTTTGTGCAATGTTTACATTTTCTATGTTTGTCGAAAATAAATCTTGTTTACATAGAAAAATCCCCTTGTTTATAAACAAGGGTGCATCACATGATCCACAGATGATGCTAGTTATAATGTCTCATAAAAGTAGAAATTATTGATTAAATTGGATGAATTTTAATTAAAATACTTAAATTTATAAATTCTTCTTCGATTTATCGATTAAATTACGGTGTTTTTTTAAAATATTTGCCGATTTTTCAAAGAAAATTAACGCTTCGACTCCTCCTTTTCTACGTTTATTTTTCATCTCTAATTATTAAAATTCGTTAAATTAAATTATTATTCTTCATAAATTATGCATTTGGATATCTGGTATCATCAATAATTAATGTAAAAATGATATATTTATATATATATAATATATTTAAATATTTACACACTCGCCTTCAAACTTGTACTTTAAAATTTTCTAGGTTATTGACGTTATCAATAAGATGGATCCACATAACTAGACCCATTTCTATGACTGTAAAATCGAAATTCCTGCATTTAAAACAGTTTAATTCTTTAATTTAAACGTTTAATTAACGAATTTTAATGCCATTTTTACAATGTTAAATATTAATTCTTCTTCAAATTTAACTTGTTATTGTTGCTATTATAACGTTCTTTCTTTAATTTATCGTTTAGAATATTTTAAATATTATTAATTGTATAAAAAATATTTACAGATAAACGTCGATTTATAGAAATTACTTACGTATTAAACAGCTAAATATTTAACTAATCAACTTCCGAACTAGCTCATAAACTGGACTTGTAACCTCTCTTATCTAATCGAAAATTTAGTAAAACATTTTGTAGTACTTTCATCTAATATCTTTAAAAATAAAAATATAAAAAAATATATATATATTTAACCTATTATCTGTAATTTTCAAATCACTTTTTCCGACCTTAAACACAGAAAAATAATTAGATTTAATAGTTGAAAATGGGAGCCGTCCATTAAATAAGTTTATTATGACAGAGGATCGCATTCGTGTATATTAAAGTCAATTGAAAGGAGCATTAAAAAAAAAATTGGAAGAGAGCACCCAAATCTGTTTTGGCCCTAGGTATTATTAAAATAGTTTTCAATTCTGTTGCCAGCGTTTAATAAATGTTCGGTTTTTTTTCCTTCTTATTTTATTTTTTGAATGTACCCCTCCTGCCCTCCTCATCCAGGATGTCTCTGTAGAATGAGAAGGAAAAATTACAGGTTCTACATTCCACTCCAGCTTTTCCCAAAACATCCCTTTGTCGTTTTAGCCCGAGGGATATCAACCCAGAAGGTCAGCATAACATTTTCTGTAACCGATTTTATATCTTTGCTGTCATAAAGATTGTATAAAATGGCAATCAAATAAACTTGTGTCTACAATCTCCGTTGATGACTAAAACATACAAATTTTATCGAAAGGACGAGTGTAAAGTTGGCTTTTATTTATTTTTTTTTTGGTGCCAAATTTTCTTAATTTTATATAATTTTGATTTTTTTAAAAAATGCATTATCTCGCCACTTTTTTGAAGAGTTTTTTTTTGGAAAAAGAATGGGGAAGTGAACTTCTTAACTAGCAATTTTCCTGCATCTTTCTAGACATTATTTTCAGCGTAGGAAAGGGTAATGATATCTCAATTTACTCCTCTAAGTTAATATCTTGAAAAAAAATCTAGGGAAATTGTGGTAAAAAGTTCATTTTTGTTACATTAAGGTTGCGCTTTGTACTTCTACCAAGGTGATAAGTTATATATATATTTTTTTTTTCTTTACCCCCTTTTTTATCAGCATGGCTTCTAAAGAGCGCGATATTTTCTACACTTAAAACTGTTAATATCTCGATTATAGATAGGATCTTAACGGTTTTTCTTTACATTTGAAGTGTTTTTCTCCTTGACTTCTTACTGTGAAGACGATTGTGATAGAGGTTGAAGCATTTTAGTACGCCTGGCAGATAGTGCATGGATAGCGCGTGGATAGAATCCTTTGGTATATGGTGTGATCCGCTATCTTCCACATCATCTCTATTATTAAATTATAGGCTTATACGATTTTTATACGCTGTGGCAAGAGATAGATATTAAAATCTTAACGATAACCCCTGTCCATATCAGGAATTTTAGGGTTGATTCGTGCCAAATAGTGTTGTAGACGGATGCCAACACCGGATCATTAATCTAGTCGGAGTATTCGCTTGGTTTAACGCTCACCTTTGGCACTAAAATTTGGCCAATAGAAATATATATATATATCTAAAATTACTTACTTTGCATCGGTTGCATCCGTAGAATTGAGTGTGTCTCGCCCCTAGCCAAAAAACAGTTAGGTGTGGTCACTAAGTCGTACAGTAAAAACTGACTTTTTCATCGCAAGGGGAGGTATACTCATCAAGATTCCACATATCATGGGCAGTAAAAGTTGTCGTTATCCCTCATTACAGCCATACTCCAAAGCTTTAACATCAAACTTCAGCGAGATAGAATAGCAGTAAAAAGAATCTCAGACATAAAACCTCACCAAACATAAGAGATAAATTCCCGACTAGTTGTGATCTAGAGTTGTTCTAGAAAGAAATCGTCGATCCTCTTGTCCGTCAACCATTAATTTAAATAGTTTTAATAGATTATTTACGTACCTCGCCATCTCCAGGTCTAAGGAAAATGCGGGCTCGGAAAGATCCACCAAGCGACAAACTCCACGAAAACAAAAGGGAACTAATCAGGGGGCGTTACCACTCCACTTCGCCACCATAAAACTTCTGTCCATTCACCCGAATATACAACAGATAATTGTCCTCTTGTTAATTAAGTATAGAAACCACTCCATCTAAACTCAGAAGTCAGTCGGCGCAAGTAAGAATTCTTACGAAATGATCCAATCGTTCGAAAACAATGTTAAATGAGACTATGGGAACGGGTCATTGTTAAGATGGGACCAGAAGATGCACGCGACATTTCCCATACCGTTCTCAGCACGCAATCAAGGTGTCCAGTCACCGACCCTAGTGAGTTTGTTTCCTTTGCATCCCATTGTTTTTCCCTTAACTTCTGGTTTTTGTCATTCATCTGAGATGTCAACCAACATAGCAGTCAGGCAAGTATTCTCTTTAATTAACTTGGCTATTAAACGCCGTCAGTGAAGCGTGCGATGTAAAACCACCGTGGTATAAACACAGAGAAATAATGGCACACGAATTTGTATCCTTATAAGAGAAGATTGTTCTTGGGAGGGTATTTTGCAAGGGGTGCCATTCGAGGCGGCGTTTGACCCCACTACCAACCAACTGCTGACCTTTCTGATCGCTCCTTTCGTAGAATACCTCTGCACAATGCCATTTACCTTACTACCACACTCTCTCGTCTAATATATTCCGCAACAATATTCACGGATTCCCCTATTTTAGGGCCACGTTTTCCCTAAAATAAATCAACCCAATTATCAAACCATACAAAAATCACAATATTATTTTAAATCTGCATTAAAAACATTTAATAATTTCACTTCATTAACTATAGAAGTTATTAAAATCGTCGGAACAAAAAGAATCAACGTGTTTATAATTGAATACAAAACTAAATTTACATAAAAAACAAAAAAGAATTTAAATTTAATAAACAAGAAACAAAGGAAAAAAAAGAAGTAAATTAAATTTTTATAAAATTTCATTTTTAATTATTTTTTTTACAATGTTAAGGTATTTTAATTGCATAATTAATGACCCAGAAAATATATATATATAATTTTTTATGTGGAAAGAAGAAATTCGTTTGACATCTTGATAATCAAAACTTTGGGATAATGACATCGAACTCGGTTTGTCAAGATGAACCTCTGTCAAATTGTCAGATGACCTTGGAATATTTTTCGTGTCAGGGTCAAGAGTGAAGATACGTAAAAGGGCATTCTTACAAGAGAACTGGGTCACAATCTGGCATAACTACTGAAATAAATAGATCAAAACAATCTCCGATATATCTACAGCAAAGAAAACAATGATCTAGACTAGGATATTCAATGAATATTCTAATTATTTAATGCAGTTCGTGCTTTAAAAAAAAAGTAAAAAAAGACACCATTTAATATTAATTCTCGACGTTCGGAATTAGTTTTCTTACGTCACAATTAGAGTAGAAAATAGTTTTCTTATTTTATAAATAATAGAAAATATTATTAATATATCAAAATTTCTGCTCTATATTAAAATATATGACTAAAATTATTTGTTAAACATTAAAAAAAAAACACCTTAATTTGCCATTCAGTTATCATTTAATAAACCGTTTTCGCATACTAAGAGCTGTTTACGAACAAGGTTATCATAGAGTCACGTTGTTTGAGTAATTTATTCTAAGGTTTTTTTTTTATTTTTTCTTTCCTTTTTCACCTCCCAGTAGTTTTTCTAAGGGAGGGATATCGGGTACTATTCAATCATGATTCAAACGTGAATAAAACTGGTTCGTGATCACGACTTCTTTACGTACCGATATACCAGAATTTCCAACGAATTCTCGCTTAAATTTATATTAAAAATAAATAAAATAAATGATAATTAGAAATTTAAAATCACTCACCCGCCTTGACAATAGAGAGAGAGAGAAAGAGAGAAAAAAAAATTAAGATTCAGATAAATCACAGGGGTCAATATACTTGCCAGTATCGACAACATCAGCATATTGTAACAATTAAAATGGGTTGGGTTTTTAATTTCGCATCGTTGAATATGTTTCAGTTTGTTAACTCAAAACAATATTTATGTGCTTCATAGAATATTAAGAAGATTTTTCTAAATTTCGCTACGATGAATTTCATACAATGGGACAGAATAAATAAATTTTTATTATCTGTTTACTTGTGACACAAGCTACAGAATCTGACGTCTTGTTTGATTAATCAAATCAGATTTTTCTCATCGAATCGCTTTTTATCTGAATATTTTCGTGTTTTTCTATGTTATTTATATCGATTTTTTTCATATTTTTTTGTTTTAACCTCTTTCTTTTTCGATATTAAATTAAATTTATTCGAAAAATAACTTTAACTTACCGATAGAACTTCTTTGTTTTGTAGTAGTAGTAGTAGTTGCACGGATAATTAAAAACTTATTGTCCTTATACAATAATAAGTAAATGACGCAATATAAATATATCCAATCAACAAATCTTGATAATGTAAACGTATTAATTTGAATTTATTTATTTATTTTTCATGTGTTTAATATAATCTGTTTATAAGAAAATGGTTAATAGTTGCTTCGAAATTGCTCAATTCCGTACTAAATTTTTGAAATTTAAAGATGGGATTATGTTAAAATTAAAGATTTATTTATGAATTTTTGTTTTAAAAGAAAATAATAATAGTTTTATTACGTTTCTTACAATGTAATAATTAAAATCGAAAGCGTATGCGTTATATAATGTTTAAGCGCCCAAATATCCTCAACTTAACAAAATTTCTTCGTATTTAAAGTGTTACTTTTGCAAAATAATCGAGTAAAACTTCATTAATTTATTAATAAAATCATCGTAGTTATTATTTTTAATTTATAAACATAATTCGTTTATCAGAAAACGACTACAAACATCTACAAAAAGATGATTTCTTTGCAAATTAAACGCTAATAAACCGAAAAATTATTTTATTTTCAAATTAAATTCGAAATATAAATCAAATTTTATAAAAATAAATCAAATTTAAGGCTATTTTTTATACATTTTTTTTTACAAGGAAAAACTCGAAATTTTAAGAGCGCATCCGAATTCGCTTCCATGCAGAAGTCTTCAACAGATGAATCGATTTTATTCATTAATAAAACCATTCTAAAGCATAGAATTGATACAGTACATCAGTACATAAATCTCTTAACGAGATATATATATATGTGTATAATTTTTTGGGGTATAATTTGTCAAATTTTTTCCATTCCTCCCGTATGGACCTCACTCCATTACAACAACTTTGTATCTCAAGTCATTCAAAATAACCAGTTTTTCTTGTCTCACCCACAACTGGAATAAAATTGGTAGACACGCAAGCACAACATAGTCTTATTATCGTTCCCTTTATTTGGTGGCAGCTCTTGACCCGCCTACTTCTGCTTGATATCGAAGCTTTCCCATGTCAAGAGAGAGAAATATATAAAACAAAAAATAATAATAATAATAATAATAAATAAAATAAAAATATGTATATATATCAAGAACTGGTATAGTTATCTTCGGTAGTAAATCTTAAGTTAAATACACTTTGCCACTACAAGGGATTGACAGAAATATTTTAAGTTGTAGAATCATTGTTTAACTGCAGGAAATAGGCGAGGCTTTGCCTATTGTTATGTAATATTTTCGAATTTTTTAACTTAAAAAAATAATCATTTTTTCCCCCTTCATTCGAAATTGTTTAGCTCATTAATTTGATAGATTTCTATAATACGATATAATGAAGGACAAAGATTAGATATTATTTTAAAATATATACATGTGTATGTGTTTGAATATGAAATATTATTATAAACCTATTGTTAAAGAATTATTATTTTTTTATTTTTTTTTTTAATTCAGGAAACACTAATTTGATTTTTGTCAAGGACACACATTTTAGTTCGATAATTAATGAGCTTAACTGTTTTAATTTTTAAAGGATAAATTTTTCTTTGTATTGTCTGAGCTTTCACAGTTTTCTTAATGGTTTGATTAAATACATTGTTACATTTACGGTTTCATTTCGAGAAATTTTTCTTGTTTGACACTTATATATATTATATTAAATAAATTCTTTGGTGTAAATTGGTTTAAAATGGTAGAAAATGGTTGGTTTTTATTAAGTGGACTTGACGCAAATGTGTGATGGAGAAGCCATCGAATCGATTATCTTAGCAACCATTTGTAGAAATTCGAGTGTTAATTCATGTAACAGAACAATAAACTACATAAATAATTGTAACGAAAGGCGATAGATAAGCAAACACGTCGAAGGCATTTTGACCTCCCCCCTCAATTCGAGATAAGGTCGACCAAAATATTGTTTTCTAGAGATAATAGTCAGAGAGTAAAAGGTTAAACTGTGGTTATGCCCTCTATTGGAGCAAATCGGAACTAAAAGTTTGATGAGTCCCTCCCTCCTTTCCTCCCATGAGGACACACGAATGTAGCAAATTTAGTGTCAAAGATCTTTCTCTCCTTCTCTGACCCGAACCGTCTAGTTATAGCTTAAATAGTTTTCATTTACACTTAAAAAAATCGTGATTTACACTTCAAAATATTAAGGTTATTTATAAGATGTATGAGATATGATTGTGGGATATTTATTTTATATTATATAAGCTGAAGATTAAATTGCATCATGTGACGAGAGCCAAGATCCTGGTGCTTTACATGGCTAAACTAACTGCAGTATATATATAATTTAAACAGTAAATATTATTAATAAGTATGCATTTTTTGGATAAATAGAACGTGGGAATTGGCATAAACGACAATTTAAAACGAAAGAATTCTTTTACGAGGTTGCAAAATGGCAATTTTTTGAGAAAATGTAATGAAAAAAAAACGCTTTGTTTACACTAAGTTCGGCGATTAGACGGATGCAAACACGTTCTCATAAGATCAAAAATGCAATTTGAACTAATAAACAATAGGCGAACACAAATGTTTTGACTGCCACAGAGGTACTTAGTGTCCTCTCTCACGACATCTCTCTCGTAACATGGACATGAATCGAACTCTTTTGTTGTCTCTTAATATACTTTGTCATTTTGTTTTCCTGTTTTCAAAAGTTATTCGTGAGTCATTGTATAAAGAACTTAAATATTTTTTTTTTCTTTATTATTTTATTTTAAATGTGTGTGTGTGTATATATATATTTCTAATCCTTTTAAAGAGGCATTTAGAGCTTAGGAATTCAATCCATTCTTTGTTCTCACGTAACCGGAAATGAGCTTATTGTTAAGTTTCCACTAATCATTAAGTTAAAATTAGTTTTTAATATCTAAAACCACTCGAGATATATGTGTTAAGGACAATAATATTTAATATTAGAGTATAATTGCTTTTATACACATATATTTTTCTTTAAATTAATGAGGTGCGATAGGTTTTTAACAGTCTTACAAGGTCGAGAATTGATGCATTGGTCTCAACTTTAAACCCTTTTATCAATAAATTTAAAAGCTGTTATCAATGGATATCCAAATGGTTTCTATAAAGAGTTCATTGCATCTTATAAATGGTGGAAAGAAAAAAAAAACAGAATGAATTCAGTGACATACATGATAAATCTCATGCGGAATAACGTTTAGCAACATATGGTGTGGTAAGAAATGCAAGTTTGTCAGATCTTTTTATTAAGTCTTTTAAAACGAACTCCACGGGAGTCGACGAATAAACGAGTTTATTTGACAGCACAAATGATAAATTGCGAAATATTACAACATCGAAATACACTGAATTGGCAATTTTACCAGATATCCATGATTCAAATCTTTTCTTTATTTAGGTCTCTATCTAGGTTACAACTAGATCTACCTTCGTCTTCCTCTCCCCAATTTTTTATTTTATTTTTTTAAA